CTGCTCTGCACCTCTGCAGCTACACATCTGGACTTCTAATGAGGATAACCCGCTAGACCTCTGGCCCACTCATGTCAGTTCCACTCATGACACTTCCACAATGTCTTTTAATGTTTGCTGCAGAGCTTCTCAGCAACGAGCAGCTGCTGTTTCTCTGTAGATGTCCTCTTTAAACAGCGGGCACGTGAACATCAGCGGGGCTTTTATTGTGAAGGCCAGCTGCTCGGTGACCTACAGTAACCCCAGCCCCGCTGATAAACGCTGGGTCAGCAGTTTGTGGTTCCTCTCTCAGAAAGCACACTTAGTTCACATCGTTTACTCAACTGCACTCTTTTCTAAAATTGCAAAATGAATTGCAAATACGCTCCAGGAAATAATACACTGAAGTGTCACATGAGTCTGAACGGAAGCACCTGGCAGTAATCAGATTACAAACTAGCACAAAGAGACACGAAAGGAACCCAAACACACCACACAGCAAACCAGCAAACCTTAGACACATTATTTACCACTGACACGGTTGCTGAACAAGTTATTTGTTGGCAAATACTTGATGAAGTGTTTTTATTATTATAATAATAATAATAATTATTATTATTATTATTATTATTATTAGTAGTAGTAGTAGTAGTAGTAGTAATACTAGTAATAGTAATAGTAGTACTAGCAGTATTGAGTGTTGACCTCCAGTCTGTGTGAACGCATCAGCTCGGTGGCTTCGTCATGCTTTTATTTTGAAGCTGCTGAGCGGATACACATTGATTGATTGTTGGCAAGTGACTGACCGGAGACTTTTAGTCTGGAGCTCGAGCTGCGAGCAGCAGAAGGTGGATGAAGGAGCAGGAGTACCGACTGGCACCGGAGAGCCCGGGACCGAGAACCGAGTGACACCGGTCAGTACTCACCGCGCTCAGGTGTTGTCCCGCTGACTTCTGAGTGTTCTCAGTGTTTTCCTGGTGTTTTCTGTGTTCTCTGAAGGTTCCATCTGGGTTCTGCTGTTTCCTTTCTTCTTGTTTTTTGTTTGTTCTCTCTGTGTTCTCTGTTCTCTCAGTGTTCCGTCTGTTTTCTGAGCTGGACTCACAGTCCGAACAGACAAACTCGTGTTTCTGAGGCGTGAAGCAGAAAGAAGAACTGAGAGGAACCGAGAAGAAGCTTTTACAATGTTCTCTGATGTTCTCAGTTGGTTTGATGAAGGAGAACGGAGGAGTTTGGGACAGAACCTTCATCAAAAGTCCAACATGTTGTTTGAAGGATGACAGGTATCAGTGGAGTCAGCCGGAGTCCACTGGGTTCTATCGGGTCGTAGTAGAGCCCAGTAGGGTTCAAGGAAGTCTGTCGGAGTCCAGTAGGGTCCAGTAGGGTCCAGTAGGGTCCAGTAGGGTCCAACTGACTGGAAGACTTCAGGTTCCTCGTTGTTCTGCTCTCTGAACCCTCCTATTGAGCTGCTGAGCTCTCAGTCTGACTGATGAACCGTCAGCGGTTTTCCTCACCGTGGGCTCATTTTTACTAACTGTCCTACAAAATAGTACATTTTACTACAATCTACTACAATATGAAGCCCTGAACCTCTACAGAACCTCTAGAACCACGAAGAAGATGAGAGAAGTCTTCTGTGTAGCTTAAAAAAAAAGTTTTCTTTCATTAATTATTTTACAAAAACGTAAAAATCCTGGAATCATCATGTCAGATATTTGTCCACAAGTAGTAAAAATGAGTCTCTGTACTCTACCTACTACTGTCTATACTACAGATATTTAACTATTTAGGGTTTTTACAGCCTCAGAAGATGCTGTTTAGTCTGTTTGTGGACTTTTAGTCTCGTCTTTGCTCTTTTTCGTCGCTCTTCTGCCATTTTGTGTCTTGTGTCTCCAGTTTGTGTGTTTTTGTGACAGTTTCATGTCTTTGTGGTCATTTTGTCTCCACCTACTTTAGATATTGAACTATCTCCAGACTTTTCCTCTCTGCTCTGCTCATCAGCTGTAGGAAGATGTTCCATCATCAGCTGGATGTATCTCCAACAACCGGCTCCTCTGTTCACTGTTTCTGAGCCGTGCTGTATTTGTTTTATTCATCCAGTAGGTCTGATTTTATTCTCTTTAGTCTCTCTGAGGAAACACTGGCTGCAGTTCAACCTGAAAACTCTGAATTTTTCACTGTTGCTGAGTCTGTCGTGGAGAATCAGTTGTGCTGCTGCGGAGGGAAGAAGGTTTTGGTTTTTACAGAATCTAATTAGAGTTAACGTTTTTTTCTTTAAACTAAATATTTTAAGGTCAGATTTGATTACTATCCTGAGGGAACAACAGATCACAGATGATGCGTTTAAAGACTGTCTGAAAGTTGAAAGTCTGTTGATTCTTCCTATTTTTACAGATTGTGGCTGATAAACGGTGTCATTTTCTTTTCAAACAAACATGAAGTTTATTACAAAACTATTAAATTCACTTCTGCGTGATGCAAATAAGCAACAAAGATAATTTTTTTTGTTCTAAACGTGTTTTGAGAAGCGTTTGCAAACTCCCAGTAATGCCTTTAATGGGATTTTATTTATTTATTCTTGGTCAGATTTGTTCTCAGAACGTTCCTAAACAAGGCGAACGCTCTTTAAAGACGTTCTCAGAATGTTTAGTGACATTGTCGGACAGTTTGGCTCCAACGCAAATTAAACTGATTCTTCCTACATTGTGGGAACGTTTTATAGATTCTATAATGTGTTCTCTCAAAAACGTCCCCAAAAACTCAGAATATTGCGGGTAGAAGGTTCTATCTTTGTTAAAACGTCACATTAGAGGAACGTTTGTCCTTCATTTGCAGCCTGAGAACATCCTCCAGACATCCTGCTTTGACATGAAAATGTTTCTCTGAAGGCTGAGTGGTTTCTGCAGGTTTTTTTTCCTCTCTGGTGAAAATTCACATTTTGTATTTGTGTCCCGCATGAGCTTCAGACTGCAAGTTAAAGCAGATTTCTGTTCTCCAAACGTTTGTCTTTAACCTCGGAGCTCTGTCGGCCTGCTGCACTCAGCCGTGGTGTCCTCGAATCAGTCGTCAGTGTGACAGGAAAATGAACTTACAGAGACATGAGTCTGAATCCTGTTTCAACGGCTCCAGCCAGAGTTTAGAGAAATTCAGTGAAAGGAAACCGTGATGAGCTTCTACAGAACTGTGAGGTCATGTGACTCCGTAGCGGGAGCTCGTCCTCACATCAGAGGATTTCATGCAGGAATCTGTTCCTGGAGGAAGTTCGGAGGGTTCAGTGAGTCCGAACAGGAAGCCGGCGAGGAAATAATGTGAGTCCAGTGAAAGGCGACTAATGAACGCTAATCTGCTCAGAATTTCCAGGACAACAAAGTGCTGCTGTTTTTTGTCAACAAAACAGTCAAACACTTAAAAATGAAAGAAAACAAGCGACACGAGTCCATCAGATCCTGACTCACAGACTAGTTTAAAGTGTAAAAACGTAAAGTGTTTTCTTTCACGCTGCGTTGACTCTGGTGTTGATCTGCAGCCGTGATTCTAATCAGTCTGATTCAATCATCCCTCCTCCCCCCCCAGACGCCTGATCAATCAGGCCAGTATTGATCAGAGTCAGATGTTCCCTGCTGTGAGATGTTTTACAGCCTTGATCACTTCAGTCAAACCGACACCGGTGCAGCTTTAACACTCTGAACGTGAAATCGTCACCAAGGGCTCAAACTGTCACACAGATCTCTACTGTAGACTGAGAGGAAAATAAAACCTCCTGGATGAGTAAAATAAATGCAGCATGGCTCAGAAACAGTGAACAGAGGAGCCGGTTGTTGGAGATACATTCATCATGGTGGAACATCTTTCTACAGCTGACGAGCAGAGCAGAGAGGAAAAGTCTGGAGAGGCTGAAAACATGGAGATAGTTCAACATGTGCAGCATGAGGAGAATAAAACTACCACAGAGACCAAACAGTCAAAAGAGACATAAAAGAGAGACAAAAACAAGTCACAAAACGACAAAAGCTACACACAAAACTACATAAACGAGACAAAACAGTGAAAATAAAACACAAAATGACAAGTATAAGGGAAAACAAGACACATAATGACAGAAATAAGACACTAAAAGAGGAGGGGAGGGAAAATAAAACCTTCAGGATCAATAAATAAATGCGGCATGGCTCAGAAACGGTGAACAGAGGAGCCGGTTGTTGGTTTTTTGTGTTGTCTTTGTCTTCTTTGTGTTGTTTCATGTCTCTTTGCAGCAATCTTTGTGTCTCGTTTTGTGTCTCGTTTTGCTTTTTCTGTCTCTTTGGGACAGTTTTGTCTATTTGTGGTGGTTTTATTCTCCTCAACCTGCAGATGTTCAGCTACCTCCATGTTTCCAGACTTTTCCTCTCTGCTCTGCTCATCAGTTGTAGGAAGATGTTCCACCATCAGCTGGATGTATCTCCAACAACCGGCTCCTCTGTTCACTGTTTCTGAGCCGTGCTGTATTTATTTATTGATCCAGTCGGTTGGATTTTCCTCTCAGTCTCTCTGAGGAAACACTGGCTGCAGTTCAGCCTGAAAACTCTCTCTTTTTGTTTTCTGTTGCTGTCATGGAAAATCAGTTTTGCTGAGGAGGGAATGAGTTTTAGGTTTTTTTTAGGATCTGTAGAATGAAGTGATGTTCGAAGCTCAGTTTTAGGTCATTTTTCCGATTGAACCAGATGATTCATTCAAGGACCGCAGGAAAGCAGTTGATAAATGGTGTGAGTTTGGGGATTTTTTTTGCTTTTCAACCCTCTGGGGTTCAGAGGGTTAATCAGGATTATTACCACAGTTGCTGACTGTGTTTGAGCTGATAACCGTGAGTGTGATCAGCAGCTTCAGTATCTGATGTGGCCTTTGACTGGTTGTGTGTCTTGTGTTTAACGCAGAGCGATCGGCGGCTGACAATCACTCAGCAGAGCGGCGGCAGCAGACATGTCCGTCTCCACACAGCTGGGGCTGCTGCTGTGGAAGAACTTCACCTACAGACGACGACAGACGGTCAGTCCACGCACACACTCTGGGTTCAGTCATCGGTAGCGCGTCTCGGATGGCGTTAGACCGCAGAAAGGCAGCAAATCTTCATGAGAGGATCTGAAGGCAGACTTCAGTTTTACACTCGGCTGCATTCAGGCTCCACTACAGTGGACACGCACTCAAACTAAATCTACTTTATTCTCGATGAATCCTCTGAACCAGCAGCAACTCAAACCTTGTCTGTGTTTCCACGTGATCATTGTCTTCAGTAGTATTTGAAATATTGCGTCATAAATCCAGAACGGTGGGAGGTGGTGGAGATGTGGAGCTCTGGAACATGTGTCTTCATGAAGTCACAGTTAAACTTCACATTGTTCACTTTAAATCCTCTAAAGCAGCCGTTCAATCTGCCAAACTTTCCCTGTGATCATTGTCTTTACTCACACTGTGGGACGTTTAGTTGAAATCTTTTATTCATATTTTTTAACTTTTTACAATTTTTTTCAGACATTTTATTCATTTTCTTCCATTTTTATTTATTTATTTTTTAGATCTTTTCAACATTTTGTTTCTAGTTTTTGGTATATTTCATTCCTTTTTTGGCATTATTTAAAAAAAAAATCTATTTTCAGGACAAAAAGGTTTATTCATGCATTAAAAAAAATCAGTATTTTTATGGAATGATGAAATGTGAAAAACGTTTTTAGAATCAGACGTGTTTTAGGTCGACAGCAGAGAAATAAACGTCCTGATGTTCATTTATGGGTCTGAGGGACGTGAAAAGATGAATTCAGAAAAAAAAAAATCAGTTTAACTTTCTGAGAAGCTTCGAGCATCTTCAGCTGTTTTCGTGTTTGATGATCAATAATCTGCTGCGTCTCAACCAGATCAGCTAATCAGCCGATCAAAGCCGGATCAACATGTCCAGTTCGTCTCTGTGGTTTTATTCTCTCATCAGTTCATACTGCTGTCGGGTGTGTCTCATCAATATCCTCACATCATTGATTAGCAGTGATTAGTGATGATTGGTATTGATCAACAGTGATCACTACTGATTGGCAGTGAATAACAGTGATCTATAAGGATTAGCATTAATTAGCAGTGATCAGTAATGATCAGTAATCATTATCAGTGATTTGCAGTTATCAGTGTTGATTTGCAAGAATTGGCAGTGATCAGTGTTGATTATCAGTGATTAGTCAAATGTCAGATGTGTGATGATGATCAATAATCTGCAACACTGCAGACTTTCAGGGCTCCTTGTCAAAGAGATGTCGATCTCAATGGGACTCACCTGGTTAAATACAGGTTAAGTGAAATAAAAAATAAAATGATGTTCTCCTCTGTGTTGGTGATCAGGTGATCAATAGCTGATGATCATCTATAGCAGAAGGCACAGAGAGACGCTGATGTTTGTTTCTGCGTCGCTGCCCATCGATCGATCGATTACATCATTTATTATGGATGAATTCTAACAATAAAGACGTCAGGCTGCTTCCTGCTGCACTCAAACACTTAGTGTTTAGCCAATCAGGAGGCTTTTAGAGTGTGCACGCACGCAGCACACACACACACACACACACACACACACACACACACACACACACACGCAATATACACACACACACTTATACATGTGCACAAATACTGTGTTGTTGCAGGTGTGTGTGTTCGTGGTCAGACTGTAGAAGAACTATGATGAGAAACCACAACCTGTGTGTGCGTGTGTGTGTGTTTGTGCTTGTGTGCGTCTGTGTGTGTGTACCTAATAACGGGATCTTGTGTGTTTGTGTGTCTTAAATGTGTGTGTAGTAAATAGCTGCTTCCTGCTGGCTCTGCACGTCTGCGTGTGTGTGTGTGTGTAATTGAGTGTGTGTGTGTAGTTAATGGTTTCCTGTCTCCTGACTCTTTGCGTGACTTTGTGTGTGTGCGTGTGTGTGTTGTTGAATTTTGCTGACTCTCAGCATGTGTGTGTGTTATTGTGCGTCATTGTGTGTTTTGGTTTTTAAAAAATGTGAATTCTGACTCTCTTCACAACACCCATATGAATGTGTTACTGTGTGTGTTTATTAATTGTGTGTTTTATAGA